TGCTGGCCGGGCACATGGCGGGGCGCGGGCGAGGCCCCCAGCGGCCTGGCTCCTGCGCCCTCCGCCTGCTCCCCGCCAACCAGCTGCAGACCAGGCAGGATTGGGGGGTCCAATCACCAGCGCCTGGCGGGGAGCGGAGGGGAGGGTCCTTCTCCCTGGGTCGGTGGCCACGTGACCTTGGGGAGCTGCCGGAATATGGACTCTGGGTTCCGCACGCTGCCCGTCCGCAGCAGGCCGCTGGCGCCCGCTGGCAGCTCGCAGCGGCCCACGTCCGTCCCGGGTGGGCGCAGAGGGGCTGTGGCAGAGCCAGGGGCCTGCGCAGGGCGGGCCCGCGCCAGGCCACCTTGGGCTGGGCGCCAGACTGTCAAATATGTCTTTTCATTAGAAAAATCTCCTTTCCCCAAAAGAAAGGTCAGGGAAGGGGAGGGGGCCGCTTTCCTTTATTTTTAATAAAATGCCACTTGCTGTCTGTGAAGCTGCCTCTGTCAGCGGCAGCGCCTTGGGGCAGATTAATATTTCAGTCACTTGGGGATTGTGGAGAAAGGCGCGGTGGACATGTTCCTGTCAGCAACTTCTCGGCCGCCCAGCTCCGGGCTGCCCCCAGCCCGCCCACACCCCCACTCCCCCGCCCTCCGCGGCCTGGCGGCCCCAGGTCCCCGCCCGGACAGCTTGACGGGCGCGAGGTCACGGAGCCCGAACCGCCCTGATTGGCCGTCAGCTCCGGCGCCGACACGCGGACGCCCCTCCTAGGCATGCTCAGTGGAAGGCCAGGCCGTCACCCCGGCAACAGCGGGCCGGCCGGGGAGGGGGCGCAGCTCCAGTCTCGATCTGCCACTTTCCCTCAGCATTAACAGAGTCTTTAATAAAAGCCTAAGCGGCAGCCCCACAAATTGACTGTGACAGTCGGCGGAGGAAATGAAGGGCCCCCCCGGCCCCGCCCCCCTCCCCAAGCCTCCGGTCCTGCTCCTCCAGGAGGCCCTGAGCCAGGACAACTTTGACATAATTTTGCAATAATTATCACTTGAAGAATTGCCACACGGGTGAGCGTCGCCAGCTGTCACGTCAGGGGGCACGCTGACCAGCAGCCGGGGCCCCCGGGGCCCTCCAGGGGCCTCCGGCTGGTCCCCGAGGAAGCCCGCAGCCCCTCTAACCCCATCTTCTCTCCGCTCCCCTCTAGGAAATGGGCAGCAGGCCACCTCTGCCAGGTACCCCCCGGCCCCCGTGAAGCAGGAGCCCAGTGAGAACGCTGGAGCCCCCGGTGCCCACGAGGCCTCCCAGGACCGAAGTTTAGACCTGACGGTGAAGGAGCCCAGGTGAGGCGAGGCCGCCGCTCTGCGGGGCTGCGGGTACAGCGCCCCCCGGAGCCAGACCCCGGCCAGGGCCGCTGACCCCTGACCCCTCCTGGCCGGGCTCACACCCAG